CACTGCCACACTAGACAGCCACAGTGGGGTGGTGCACGTGGCCTCACCCGTGAAGCGTGTGGATGTGCATGCCTGTGTGTGCTGATGTGTGCATGCATGGCTGTGTCTCTGCACATACACATACCTGTGCACATGCATATGCTTCACTTGTGGCAGCGTGTTCATGTGCACCTGTGTGCATAGTTGTGTACATTTGTGCACATGTGAATGTGTTTGGTGCACATGTGTGCACACATATATATGGGTATGTTTACAGGTATATAACCGTGCTGGGTTCACACATGGGCAGGTTCATACAAGTATCCGCATGTTACTAAATGAGAGTGTGTACTTGTGTAGAAATGTATGTTTATAAGTGTGTTCACGTGTAAATGTGTATGAGTGTGTTGTGTGTACGTCTGCATCCGTGTGTATGCCTTTGTATGCCTTGTGTGCATCTGCAAATGTGTACTTGTATGTGTGCACATGTGTGTGCACGTGTGTAGTGCATGTGTGTGCTTTGTGTCTGTTTGCATTCATTTCCATGCATTGTGTCTACACATGTGTACTAGTATATATCTGTGTACGTGTGTGTTTGTCTGTGCATAAGTATGTATATGTATGTGCATTCGTGTGTATTGTGTTTCTTATGGTGTATGTGCATGTGTATATGTTTTTCTGTGAACATGTACATAAATATGAATGCATGTGAATGCTTGTGTTTTTTGTATAGATGCATGTGCATGGTTTTGCATGCACAGTGCATATGCAGGTGTGTGTGCATTTTTATTTGTTTGTGTGTACATGCTGTGTGTTTGCATGTGCATATGTACACCTGTGTTGTTCATGTGTCACTTATGCCTTATGTGTGCACGCATTTTTGTGCCTGCAGTGTGTACTTGTGTGTGCACTGGCGTGTGTATTCATGTGCATGTGTGTGCATGTACTGCAAGGCCTGTACTCACAAGCCACCACATCTCACTACTTTGTGCCCTGTATCACTTGTAAATTTTTCCCATTGGTAATTTCTCAATTCTGTTTTTGCAAATTAGATTTTTTATTATTTGGAAGGCAAAAAATTTCTATCAAGAATAAATGACTGAGTATAAAAACAAAATCTAAGGATGCTCTTTATCCTTTGCCTTATCATCCCAAGATGCTGGCCTCCAGTCCAGCCCCAGCTGAGACCCCTTGCTGATTTGTGTTCATGACTGGAGAGTGGCTAGAGGGAAGCATCAGGTTGATGGTCAGTTTGCTGCCCTTTGGACAGTACACTGGCTTCTGCATCCCTAACATAGGATTCTAGCTCACTTTCAACCCCAATCCTCAATGTCTTAAAGGTAAATGCAGCCAGAAGTAATGGCACAGCTTGTATCCCAGCCCTTTGGAATTGGAGGCAGGAGGAGAGAGAGTTGGAGGCTGGCTGAGCTCCATGTAATGAGATCCTGGTTTAACTCCTCAGTAACAACAACCAGAACACTTTGGTCCACTTGGTGGCCTCAGCTTAGAGTTGTGAAAGATCACTGTCCGTGAGAAGAGCTGGCGTCTCTGTAATGCACGTGCTTGGTGCCAGCCTCTTATTGCCCATAATTTTTCCAAGGAGTAGAATTTCGTGTGATGACGTGATACATAAGCGAAAGATACCACTGTCGGAAAGCACAGGAAACGTAACTCCTTTTCATTTTATTTTATTTTTTAGAATTTTACTTTGGAAGAGTTAGGTGACCTATTTTCTGTGTATTCTCTACCATGTTGTCCACTCGTATGGAGAGGCAAACCATGCGACCATTTTTTTCTGCATAGCTGAGAGTGTACTCAAGGGGTATCTGACATACATCATTTCTGTGGAAGCTAATGTCTACTCACAAACGGAGCACAGGGTATCTGACATACAGCATTTCTGTGGAAGCTAATGTCCACTCACAGACATGGAGCATGGGGTATCTGACATATAGCATTTCTGTGGAAGCTAATGTCTACTCACAAACGGAGCACAGGGTATCTGACATACAGCATTTCTGTGGAAGCTAATGTCCACTCACAGGCATGGAGCACAGGGTATCTGACACACTCACAAACGGAGCACAGGGGTGAGGTGTGCAATTGATTCACCCAGAAAAGGCAGCACTTTGACACACTTGTTTTCCAGAAGTAATCAAAGCATGTTCATTATGTTAGTGCATGTGGCTGTGTTTAAGTAGACAAGATGCCTGCTCCCCAGGTCTATATAAAACAGACCACTGGAGGTTAAAAGAATCTCATGTCTGGAGCTGAGGGAGCTGGGATAGAGTGAAGCTGAGGAGTGAACCGTCTGCTTGCCTTGGTATAACTGTGGGTGCGTTCGATGCCTAGAAAGGACTCCGTGTAGAAATTAACCTTCAGAATTCAGCCAGGAAAGGCTGAGGAAGAAGCCCGCACTGCTGCTCTTAATTGTGCCAGACTCACTCCACTGAGCATGCTTCCGCCATTTGTGGTTATTCAGAACCAGTTATTTTTATTTTTGCTTTTGGCCTTGTCTGCCCAGTGCAGAAAGCTGAAGAATGAATATATATGGATTTTCCATAGATACAAAATCTCCATGGGCCTGGCAAGAAGTCTTTCTCTAACTATCTGGCAAGAATTATTTAGCTGAGTGGTCAGGGTGTGGTTTTTTCCAGTATAGCAAACGTCTTCCTATTCTTGCTTTAATTCTTATTAAGAGAGGCAGATATATGTGAGAAATAATAATGATGGGTATCCACTGTTTCAAGGTACGGGTTTAGGCAGTGTGCCTCCCCCCCCCCCCCCCCACCGCCCTGCTCTGCTCTGGAAGGTTCCTTAGGCAATGCATACGGCATGTGTGAGGGACCCTGATCCTGGCATGTGGCAGGGGTCTGGAAAGGCTTTGCCTTAAACTAAGCATGTCTAATAGGGTTTAACACAGCCTGTGAATTTGCCCCTGCACAAGGTCAGCTTGTAGGTCAGAACGCTGCCCAAATTGCCTTCTCCCCCCAGAATGTAATTACACCTAGGAGAAGCCCATGTACTGTCAAGTCCAGCTGATTCCAGATAGGCCTGAGATAAACCAAGGGCTTGCTGACATTCCTCAAACACAGACTTTTTGGTATTTAATATAAAGCATCTCTTGTGAAGAGCGATTTGAAGTTTGTGGAGGGATGGAGGCCAGCTGTTTTCAACCTTCCCCTGAGCTCAGGAAGAAGTGGTTGGAGATGGAATCTAAGTTGGACTGCAATGACAAAAGTCTCTTAGTACTAGAGAATGGTTTTGAAAGATGCCAAAGGATGAGAAATGGGCATCGTGGGGATATAGACTAGACATAGGAATACAAGTTTAGTCTGTGTTTACAGTGAACTGTGATTTGTTTGAAAAAATGACTATGAATATATGTGCAGTGTATCAATATAATTTTAATATTTTTTTCAAGGTGCGCATTATTTTAAAATAAGATCCATACTGAAATATACAGACTCTGGTCTGGGCCAGGGGCAGGCAGAGAGATAAGTTCAGCACAGCTTGCAGATTTCTTCATTGTTGAGGGTTAAGATGATTTAAAAATCCAGTTCAGCAGAGAGCACTGGATGAGCAAAGTTTAATAAATAACTCCTGTTCTCCATGAATGTGTTTGAAGTCTCTTCCCTGAACAGCCAACCTGCGTAGAATGGAGTCACCTTGGGAGCTGTCTTCTGTCTCCGCCTAAACATAGAACTGACATTCGTATGAAGCAGCTGTGGGCTGCTAAAGTGAAGAGTCCCACCAGCATCTGTCACTGTTAGGTTTTAAGTCTAATGGTTATGTGACAATAGAATTCTAAGCATGAAGAGGACAGATAAAGCCCTAGTGATAATTGAATCAGGGTCAATGTGATTTAGTGATAATCTTGATGAAAATAAACTTGTACAACCAACAAGCAAACTTAAGCTAGCTGGACACTAATGTGATATGGTATCTGCTGCTCTGTATCTTATCTTCACTGTTTTTGGCAAGTCTATAAGTAACTTAGGTGGAGACTTAGGTGTGACCACTTAGGTTAGTTTGTATTTTGCCCACCAATGTGCATTAAAGGGTTTTCTAGGCTCTGATGACTTTTTTTCGTAGCCTCTCCACATAAAATTTTTTCTTTAGTGGAAACTGTGTAGTCTTCTTAGGAGGATTTGGTTTACTAGGTTTGGACAAAGCTATACTTTTCCAGGGAACATTCACAAAGGGGGAGATCATTGGCAATGAAGTATGTAAAGTTTTTTTTAAAAGATTGTAAAAATTTTTATATACATGTATTATTGAAATTTATATTACACATAGTTAGAATCTGTTGTGAGCATAATTTTAAAAAAGCTTTAAAGTTTAATGTACAATGTGGTTAAAATAATGTATTTGAAAAAAAATCCAAGTAGCCAGGTGTGGTGATCCACACCTGTAATCTCAACACTGGAAGGCAGAGAAAGGGGGATCCTGAGCCAGGGCCAGCCTGAGCTCCATGGTATGACTCTATCTACAAAATGGAGGGCGGGAGGGACAAGCTGGGTGCTCGTGGCTCACACCTGTCATCCTAGCCACGCAGGAGGCTGAGATCTGAGGATCACAGTTCAAAGCCAGCCTGGCAGGGAAGTCTGTTAGACTCGTATTTCCAATAAATTACCAACAAAGCTGGAAGCGGAGTTGTAGCTTAAGTAGTAGAGCACTAGCTTTGGGCAAAAGCAGCTCAGGGCTTCAGTGCCTAGACTCTGAGTTCAAGCCCAGGATCAGAAAACAAAACAACAACAAAAAACAGTAAAATAAGGTATTGTAAAGGCTTTAACTGTTTGTACAAAGCTGGTTGGCTTCTTTGTGATATTTTTCCTTTATATTATATAATGTGTTTAATTGTGGACAAGCTACTTTCTAATGAAGTATTATGGGGAGCGTAGGACTGTGGCACCCAGTTAGCTCATCGACCAGAATATCTGAAAGTTGTATTGTCCTCAGTATGCTCTCTGAAAGATTGCGTGGTTATTTGAACTTTCATTTTTTTTAAATACTTCCAGATCATCAAGTTATTGGATGGAAAACGGTCTCAAGCTGTGGGAATCTTGATATCTAGTTTGCACTTAGAAATGAAGGATATTCAGCAAGGTAAGTCTTCTCCACCCTTCCCCCACCTTTCTAGTACATTGTACAAATAGCGTATTGCATTAGGACGCGTCCTTCATGTCTCTGGGCTGTTTGATCACACCTTCCCATACCCACCCTCACCCGCCCTCTGCTCCTATGGACCCTCTTTCTGTTCCTAATAGTCCAACTTGGAAATCTTTTAAATGTTTTATTGTGAAATTTTAAGCACATACATTAGAATGCCGTAGAAAATCCCCTGTGCTCGGTACTCAGCTACGATCCCCACCACTGAGCCCCTGTGCTCGGTACCCAGCTACAAATCCCCACCACTAAGCCCCTGTGCTCGGTACCCAGCTACAATCCCCACCACTAAGCCCCTGTGCTCGGTACCCAGCTACAATCCCCACCACTAAGCCCCTGTGCTCGGTACCCAGCTACAATCCCCACCACTGAGCCCCTGTGCTGGATACCCAGCTACAAATCCCCACCACTAAGCCCCTGTGCTCGGTACCCAGCTACAATCCCCACCACTGAGCCCCTGTGCTGGATACCCAGCTACAAATCCCCACCACTAATCCCCTGTGCTCGGTACCCAGCTACAATCCCCACCACTAAGCCCCTGCGCTCGGTACCCAGCTACAAATCAGCACTGAGCCCCTGTGCTCGGTACCCAGCTACAAATCCCCACCACTAAGCCCCTGTGCTCGGTACCCAGCTATAATTGCTCCCTCCCTTAGAATTACATCTCTAGCTGGGTGCCGTTGGCTCACACCTGTCATCCTAGCTACTCAGGAGGCTGAGATCTGAGGATCACAGTTCAAACCCAGCCCAGGCAGGAAAGGCCGTGAGACTCTTATCACCAATAAAACCGGAAGTGGCGCTGTAGCTCAAGTGGTAGAGCACTAGCCTTGAGCTGAAGAGCTGACGGACAGCGCCCAGGCCCAGAGTTCAGGCCCCACGAATGACCAAAAAAAAAAAAAAGAATTACATCTCCAACAGTTTACAAAGAACAAGGGGACAGTAGACCATGACAAATAAAAAAAACATGGCAGCACAATCAGCAAAGTGTGAATGGGGGGATGACAAGAAAAGTGACAGGTTTCTTCAACAAATGAACCACAGAAGACAACAAATAGAGATGGACAGTAGAAAACTCTAGCTGAAAGGAAACGGGAGAGACGGGTAAGTGGTATGGTAGGAGGGTCTGTGAGTGTCTTGAGTTAGGAGCTGGAGGGAAAGGGAGAGACAGGTGAGTGGTATGGTAGGAGGGTCTGTGAGTGTCTTGAGTTAGGAGCTGGAGGGAAAGGGAGAGGCAACTGTCCACGCAGCCATACCAAGTCACTTTGACTTGGCCGTCTACGATAACAGCACTGGAGACGTCTGAACACGATCCCTGCCTTTTATTGGTGATGCAGAGAGAGAGGGAATGGCTACGGTTAGTCACCACTGCCCAGAGTGATGGGCACGGCTTAGATCATGCATCGGCCTTGGCATCCTGGAGCAAAGGGTTCCAAGGAGACCGCTCCGTTCAGCCCTGCACTGCAGGTGCTTGACTACCAGCTTCCACTGAAGCCCTGCAGCCTCCCAACAGCTTCAGTTAAACACATTGTTGCCTTGTTTGGGGTGCCTTGGCTTGAGAGTGGTTCATGCCACCAAGCTAAGAGCAAGAGAACACCCAGGAGATCAAAGTGCGATTGACACACAACCAGCCGTGAATGTAACTAACAGAGAGCTGCTGCACCTTACCCAGCCGAGCAGTGCACGCACAGGATGACATTTTTTTGAAATCCCTTTTGAGGTTTACTTGTCACTCATTTCTTTATTTTGATGGTGCCTGCTCAAAGCCACATGGAATAAACCATGGACAGGGCGAAGCAAGCAAGGGGTTCTGTTCCGAGGATGGATCTGAGGGAGGGCTGGAAGGCATGCGCAGGCAGGCTAACGTGCGCAGCAGACACGTGACAATCCCAGCCTGCCCGCCAAGCGCTGCTCTACCCAAAGGGCTCTCTGACATCTCTGAGGACAAGGCGAACTCCATTCACTGCCAGAGTACATAACACCGAGCCAGAGGCCTGCTGCGGAGGGGCGTGGCCTCTCTGGTTCTCCATCTCTGAGATGAACTGTCTAATATTTAAAAGCCATTAGCGTCTGTGGACACAGCGGCTGGCTGCATCGTTGCAAATTGGTGTTTTTGTTGCACATGAGCAAGTTCCCCTCCTGTCCCAGGAGAGACGGGAAGTTGCTGCTGAGTGTTCCCAATAGAAACTTGCATGTATATGGCCACAGACAAGTTGCCAGAAACAACCTGGCATGCGTGCAGAGTTTCCCGTACACTCAGGATCAAACATCAAAATAAAGCATTTTTCATTTCAGTTCCTGGTAGCCCAGGGCCGTAGACTGCAGTTCTCTGCAAGCCGTCTGACCTCTGGGAGATGCAGAGAGCTTTCCACACAGGAGAGGGACTTAGAACACCCACTAGGCCTGAGCCCAGAAAGGTTGGCCATGGAAGAGTGAGCTTGGATGGGCATCTGAAATCTGCCATGGAGTTTTTCTGTCATCCTGAGGTGAAATCTCACTGTCGCCTAGAAGAGCCTGTTCAAAAGGCCTCAGCCTCCCAACTCCCTACCAGTACACACACACACACACACACACACACGCACACACACACACACACAGAGCAAAAGTGTGTGGCAGAGCTCGCATGCACGTTGTAAGACATGAAAACCTGATTTTTCTTGAGGCGATTGTGAATGGGATTGCTTTCTAACTTGTTTCAGCAAGTTTGTTATTGGCACCTACAAAAACTACTGAGTTTTGCTACCTGCTACCTCGCTCAAAGTTGTATCAGGTCTAAAAGTCTTCTAAGGGGTCTTTAGGGTGCTTTAGACAGAGCATTGTGTCATGTACAAATCTGGATAGTTCAAAGATCAAATAAGACAAATAGTATTTTAATGCCTTGCTATTTCTAGTGGCTTCAGGTTTCCGACAGCCTAATACAGTTAGGATGGGACTTGCTGTGGACGTAGTGACCACAACTCACATCTCAGAGAGTCATTGTGTTTATGGGCTCTCCTTCTTGACAGACCTACTCTGGCTGTCCTTGTTTTTACCTGGCTCTGTGAGCATTCATTCTACCTTTTTCTTATTACCGAAGGATAACCTCTCTAGGGTCTCTCTGAAGGAATCTTTAAGGCCAACCTGTTGGTTTTGTGAAGTTTAGATAAAAACAGATTTTGGAGTTTTTTAAATCCATCATTTAATTCCTCCCCTCCCCCCGTCATAGTATGTGGAGAGCAAAGAAAATGCAGTGTCAGCCGAAGGCGCTTTCCCTCCACAAGGGGCGTGTGACGTGCCTGTGACATACCAAGGCCACGTGGGCCACTGTCAAGCCCCTTGTCAGGTATCAGTAGAGCTCATTAGAAAGGCAATGCCACGTTGGTGACAGTGTTGAAAGGGGTGATGTTTGATCAAGGTGCACGGTGCTCATAAGCTGCTTTGTTGAACGGCAGCTCCTTAAATACAATATATTTTTAATCTTTAAGTGAACTAAACATAAGCCATGCTTTTCCTCAGAGGCTAAAGCAGCTGAGCAGCCAGGACCTGCCCACCTCTCTAAACCACTGTGCCTTCCTCCACCCCAGACCTGAGGTCCAAAGGAAGCCTTTCTTTGTACCTCCCTTCGGGCAGTAGCTGAGACTGTCCAAGCTGCCTAGAATGTAACTTTGGCTTAAAAGAACCAGAGCTAATGGAAGAACAGAAGCAGCTTAACCTAAACTGTTTCTCGTCCCACTACCTCCCGGGAGGAGAGGCAGACCAGGGGGGGCTTGTGTGGGCTCCGTGCTCCCTGTCTGTCTTTGAGGTCTGAACCATGGACGGTTTCACTGTACCCATAAAACAGCACCACAGGCACCGCCAGGCACAGCACATGCGTGGACTTGGGCAAGAACTAAGGTTTTGCTGCTTTATAAGATTGTGTCATTTTGAGGTTTTGGAATGGAGTAGTTAAGTGTCCCTTTTGTAGCTGTCGCTTTGTCTGTCTCCCAGACAACTCCTGTTTGCTGTGTCATTTAGCTTTGCCACTCACCCATCAAAGCCTGAATAAAAGCCTCCCTTGCTAGTAGTATGACATTCAGGCACTCAGCAATATGTTCTTCATGCTTCTAGAACAACTTTGGTTGCTGTTTCTTCGTTTCTCTATATGTCTTTCCTTCCTTTTTCAGTGTGTTTAGGAATGAAGTGTCATGTTTTAATTATGGCTATCTTTTCAAGAAAAAATTGACTTGATGTTTTTGTCAAATTACAGGGCTTTATTGTTGTTGTTTGTTGAAACATTCTGTGTTCTATAACCCAGTTTCAATATTGGTCATTCTGCATTTCTGCAAGTTACTTTATTGAATAAATTGAAATAGCACATTAGAATTAGCATTAGTGATAGTTAAATGATGGTTAAACTGGACATGTATATAAAAAAACAAAGATGAACTTTCGGAACATGAACCATATGTGCTTCCTGCTCAATTATTTCTGATTGGTACAAAAGGCACATGATGCCCATTAGAAGCCAAGCTTTCTCTGTATTTTTTTGCAGGTAGTTGGTCCATTGGTTGATCATTGGTGGTTTTCAGATTTTGTGTGCAAGTGCTGGTCCTGGGGCTTGAACTCGGGGCTCGGACACTATCCCTGAGCTTTTCTGCTCAAGGCTAGCACTTTATATCTTGAGCCACAGCTCTACTTCTAGCTTTTTGGTGATTAATTGGAGATAAGAGTCTCAGGGACTTCCCTGCCATAGTTGGCTTTGAACCGTGATCCTGAGTAGCTAGGATTAACAGGTGTGAGCCATCGGCACCCAGCTGCTTTTTAGATTTTTATTTTTTTTTAACAGGACAAGGTGAAGTAGTTATTTATAGCCTGGCATCTGGGCAGAAAAGATGATGTAGAATCTCATGGCAGCAAATTCTCACTGCCGGGGAAGACGGCTGCTGACTGCAGAATGGAGCTTGAGAAATGGAGTTGTGTGGGTC